AGGTCAAAATAGAGTTATTGGTGGTACTTATGTTCAACATGATATTTTGGATTATATGCCACAACTTCGTTCATTCACTTTTTATATTTGTACTTATGTCAATCTGGTTACTGTACCCTACAAGTTATCTAGTGAAGATATTCAACTAACATTAGCAAATATTGGAGAACAACATGTTAGTAGTATGGTCAATTATATTACTAGTATTGATAGTTATGTTTATATGGTTAGAACTGCATGCTCAATTTTCTCACTTCCTTTTGGATTTGATCATCTCCAAGATATTGGCAATAACTTTCCAAATATTGTATTTAGCTATGTTACCTATTTACTTATAGAAGATATTATGCCATTCGAACATGAATTCTTCATGCGAATTGCCCGATCGTTTCCGTTACTCAAGCATTTATTTATTCGAAATAAAGCATCACAAAAATTGGATGGTCTTATGACATTTTCATCTGACAATTGTCAGTTCCAATCTATTATTGAATATCCTCACCTGACTATACTTGATGTCAGATTTGCACATCGAGATTATGTTGAACAATTTCTAATTGAAACAAAGACACTTGTACCTTGTCTGACGGAATTGGAAGTCTTTGTTAATCATTTAAAAGCTGTAACAGAAGACTTTACAAGAAAAGAAACACGACGCAATTGTGCGAAGGTGACAAAAATAACTTCGACAAATCCTCCAGTGGTACATTCGGAAGATTTATGTCGTTATTTTCCTTCTTTGTATAAATAAATGTATTCTCGTTTTTTTTATCTAATAAACTGAAAAACATGATACATTTTGTATTTATAGTCTAATTATGCTTCTCAAATATATAGAAATATCAACTATAATTAATGATCGTTTCTCAGTTTATAATAAACAAAAAATCATACAATACAACATTATCTGATGTTGCAGAGTATATGTACATTGAAAAATAAAAAAAGGAGCTTGAGGCAAATCAAAATTGAATTGAAATTTATTTTTTCCTAAATAGAATCTTGTACATGACTAACTTATCTCAACCAAAGATAAAAAAAGAAGATATGTACGCTATTCGTCATTCAATTGATCGTACAATAAAAGCTTTTTATTTAATATTTTAATCAACTCTTTCTTTTATTTTTTGAAGT